AATGAGCCGCCCCTGTTCCTTTTGTAAAAATTGAGATATGATTAAAAATACGATTTGGGCATTTTTAAACCGGCCAGGGGCGCTATTCTGTACAATCGTCGGTATCGGCAAGTTACCGACAGCTATCGGTACGTACGGCCAATGAGCGTCGTGTTGATTGTTGTTGTCATAGTTACCGATCGGTCCTATGACGGATATCGCAAATTTGTACCGACGATTCTCGGTATCTCTACCGTGAGGTTGACAAGGGCACGGTAGAGATACCGATTTTCGTCGGTACAAATTTGCGATATCTGCCATAGGACCGATCGGTAACTATGACAAAAACAATTAACAAATTTTTACTATATACAAATACGTATCGAGAGCTGTCGTAACTTACCGATACCGACAGCTATCGGTACGTACGGCCAATGGGCGTCGTGTTGATTGTTGTTGTCATAGTTACCGATCGGCCCTATGACAGATATCGCAAATTTGTACCGACGATTCTCGGTATCTCTACCGTGAGGTTGACAAGAGCACGGTAGAGATACCGATTTTCGTCGGTACAAATTTGCGATATCTGCCGTAGGACCGATCGGTAACTATGACAACAACAATTAACACATTTTTACTATATACAAATATGTATCGAGAGCTTTCGTAACTTACCGATACCACAGATTAGGTATCCTATAAGTATACAGATAAAAATCTTGTCCCTAATTCGTGGTACGAAAATTGTTTTTTATGACGATATGCAAACGAGTCAAATTTCCTATGGTCAAAAATAAACTCGTGTAAAATAACAATAAACAGCGTAATAGAGAGATATCCCTAAACCGAATAGCGTGCATGGACGTTAATAAGGCCAGGTGTTATTTCCTTTACGTGAGGTGGTATTAACTCTCTTCATTTATAGTTATCGGATCGGAAAGAATTCTGATCGCGTCGCGTCCGCTATTTAAACTTAACATAACTTTGAATTTAAAACTTTGAAATTGTGTTGTTTACTAGGTATTTTAAAACTAAAGGGCTAAAGTGCTTATTTCCAGTGCTTTATTGTTCAACGTCTGCCAGTGGGTTTAGGGCAACAAGCAACAAATTCTCTTAGAAGGGCTAAGTCGTCATCTGCTGTAAACCTAAGACTCTTTATAGGTTCTTTAGTATTGGAAGAGGTAGAGTCCATATTTTGGGCCATATTTCTTTAATTAAACTAATCCCAGCTACTTAAATATCAAATTACCTAATAAAACTAAAGCAATAATTCAAAACAATTCAAACATAACCTAAGATAAAAGATCTCGCCGGCCGTCTCCGGTTGTCAAATACCCGCACATGCCCATTTAAGCAATTTTTAAACGTTATCAGAGGTTATTTAGAAAGAGCGTTTGGTGTAATTGATCCGCAAATTACGTCAGGCGGTAACGTTATTAGCGGGTGTTGCGTTAAAAATTGACTCGCGCATATCGTAACCATGATAAGGTACGCGTAAATATTGGATGACGCTATTCGGTTTTCCGATATCTCTCTAATAGCTGTGCCGGTCAGGCGCTGTACACAATTTTAGAGGCCATAAGTGGGCGTGCCATGTGCGCAAACTAGTCACCTAACTAGTGCCCGATTCCGAAAATTGGAACCACGAAAAACAATAAAGAAAAAACAAAGATTATAATCTGTGCCGATACCGACGGTTTTACAGAATAGCGCCCCAGGACACGACACGAATAACATTAGACGATCAAATATATTTTTCCAAGGCTCCTTGATTAAAAATTAGTGTTTTTAACACAGCCATGACACTCTAATGAATTATTTCACTCCTTCTCGGGAGTGAATTTAAAAAATCTTTTACAATTCGTTTTTAGATCTTTCAAAGTAACTTATATCAAAAACTCAAGTTATTTACCAAAACTTCGTTTAAAAGTTTAAAAGGTCTATTTTCTTAGACTATACCAGTAAATTATGAAATCAGTAAATTTGCATTCCCTATCACTAACATTAGAATATGCAAGTATTAATTTGTTAGTTTGCATTATTTTGCTCAATTAATCTGATCAAAATTATACAGAAATAAATTTATTTTTGTTTTGTGGAATGATTTGTAATGTAAACACATTTATAGCGATAACTAAAATTCTAGAAACATCAAAACAGGAAGTTTTCTTTGAATATTCAAATGATAAATAATTTCGCAGGAATTATGTTAACTAGCTACTCTGACGGAAGGATTTTAGTTGACATGTATTATCTTTATTGTAACGTAACAAAATTATTGTTTGCATTGTTAATACTTATTTTTATACTATACCTTTATATATTTCTGTTCAAATATTTTCAAAAATGTCCAGTCCTTACAGCTAATAGTGAAATTATAAACAGATAAATTTAGCACCGATCTCCTAGAAAAGATTACCACCACTAATTGTTTTCATGGACATAATTTCTTTATTTAATATACAGGGTGGTCCGAACTGTATTCCGGAAACTTCGGCAGCATATTCTGCACATAAAAATATGTAAAAAAGTTTGTATAAATGTATGTCCTAAAAGGCTTCGTTTCTTAAATAGATAGTTTATTTTTTTTATTTATCCTTTAATAATAGTATAGAAGTTTTGTATTTCGATTTTTTTCAAATAATTTCTGAACTATAATCGATATTTGGATAAAAATTGGTGTCTCGGTGTTCTTTTGCATGAGAACTTTGATTTCGATGTCATTATGACTCCTATTTGTAGGGGGCGCCACCTATATGTGTTTTAACTGTTTTAAAGAGCACTAACTTTTCATCCGTACTTGTATAGAACTACTGAGTAAAAAAAATATACATTTTCACCGTTTTCTGCGTAAAATTTTTTATCACATTTCAAATTCCTTGTTAGGTTAGGTTTGAAATCGCTAAGAGCAACCCAATGACTAAAAAATCCAAGGACAAATAACACCCGAGAGCAAATTGTGCTGATGTCACCAAACAGTGCCGTGGCACATATTTTTCTTAACCTAGTTGTTTGAAGCAATATTTATATTTTTTGATAATTGTTTTAACTACGCTTATGGTGTATCATCCTAAATAATCAAGAAAAAAACGTATTAAAATGTTAACAAAAGGAACAAAACTAGGATCGACGTATAGCACATATCAAGTACATATAGATGTTAATTGAAATTGAAGAATAATTATCGGAATTCAATAAGAAAATGCTAAAAAGTTGGAGTGGATTGTTTATTTACCTATGAAACGTAACTCCTGGCTCTTTCTTATCGCTGCTGCTTTTACACTTGAAAGCTGAACAACTAATCACCATTGTAATAAAGTTTATACAAAGTTTACTACACACAAACTATTAAAAATCGTTAAAATTGTCGCTGGTGACCAAATGATGACTCATTGTTTGCCATCAAAAGAAAATTCTCTAAGGTCACAAATTCTGCTGCAGCCCGTATATGGGCGTTACATGTCCTTATATTCTATAGTCATTGGCAGGGCCGTAGCAAGGCGGAGGCGGAGGGGGCGGTCCGCCCCGGGCAGCGACCCTCAAAGTACCAGCGGGGCGGCAAAAAATTGTTATAAAGGCTGCGGACGGATTCTGTAGGGGCGGCAAACCTATTTCCTAGAGACTCTCCGCCCCGGGCGCCCCTAACTCACGCTACACCACTGGTCATTGGAACAACCGTTCTCAAGATATTTAGAATGGAAATTGTCAATAAACGTCATTATTACAAAAAAATAAAAGTTAAGTAGATAGTTTTATTTGACTGAAAAGATAAATTTAGAAACTTTTTGTATTTTAATTGTTTTCTTCAAAAAAATAATGAGAAAACAGTTTCTGTTGAACTGGCATAAAACTTTTCAAATTTATTATTTCAGTTTAACAACTAAATATTTCGTCAACATGTTTAATTTATGTCAATTATGACAGGTATTTATAATTTCGATTCCAAATATCTCGAGAACCATTACTTTTAGTGACTTTTACCAAGAGACCATTTTTACGTAAAAAACGTCGTAAATACATATTTTTTTACTCTGTTGTTTTATACATGTACGGACGAAAAGTTATTAATCTTCAAACCAGTTAAAAAATGTAGATGGCGCCCTCTACAACCCAGTCATATTGACATCAAAAATTAAATTTCTCACGTCAAAAAATACCCAAACACCAATTTTCATCCATATATCGATGTTAGTTCAAAAATCATTTGTAAAAAATCGAAATAAAAATGTAAATTCTATACTCTGTATCTCGAAAACGAAGCATTTTAGGACATACATTTATACGAAGTTTTTTACTTCTTTTTATCTGCAGAATATGCCGCCGAAGTCTCCGGAATACATTTCGGACCACCCTGTATAGTTTCCAATTTCTTCATGTTTTAAAAGCAGTTTAGGCTTAGTAACGTTATAACAAAATCCAAGAACATCATAAATAATTTATTTAAACTACCCATTAATTCTAAATATAGCAGTTAATAGTCATTCAAAACCTTTAAATACTGATAATATGATTAAAAAAACCGGCGTCAAAGACGACTGGGGAACGACAATCGATGATAATTTTGGCGAGATAATTCTCTAGGCGTCATTTTCTTAAATTGATTTAAAACTTGTCAAAAATTGACACTAATTATAGAAAGATCATAAAAAAGACTCAAATTTTATCAAGTTTTAGTTTAAACCAGGTCTTTTTGAGAAGAATGGACGCCTTCCTTAAAGGCCAATAAACGAACGCTTTCAAACAAACAAATATATTTCCAAAAAAATTGTTTTTCCCTAATTTTATACTACACCATTTAAAAATCATTTTTACTCAATGTAAAAATAAATCATAACCTTCTGAAGGCTAACTGGCAGTAAGCGCTATTAAAAATAAATAGTATACGGGTCAATTATTGACGTCTAGATCTTGACATCTTCAAAATTACCATCGACTATGATTCCTTAGCCGCCTCTAATGCCGTTCCTACGATCGTATGGTATTTTGGACTACAAATCTACTAATAAATTATTAATACTTACTTTTTGACAAAAATACTTCGGAGTTACAGACTACCTCTAATTGTTTTAAACATAGATTATCATCGGGCAATGTGTTATTTCTTAACGTTGCATTGCTGCACAAATTATTCATTAACAGACTGTTGTAATTCGCTTGACCCAGAAGTGGTAACAAAATAAGGGGATCTATATTCAGGTTTTCTAAAATATCTGTAGGAATATCACTTATATCCTGAGAAGTGGCACATTTCATGTACAGCAATACCACAAATAACAACTTTAGACGTCTCATTTTGTTTTCCGCTTGAAACCCGATATAACAGTTTCTAAAAAAATGTACAACTGAACTAAATGTGTAAATAAATGTTTCATTTAACTAGAGTTATTATCTTTCTTAGTTTACTTAAGAATTAATAAATATATTTGAGACATATATTTTGCCTTTTGATATTTTTTTAATTATTTAGCATACTAGACTCTCCTTGAGGTTTAGTTGTCTACGGTTTACGATTTAAACTGATCTTGACTTTGTAGAATTGTTATTATGGCGTGTTTCTCATTCATCAACGCACTAGTATATTAAGTTTTTTAAATTATTTTGTAGTAATATTACTACATAGTATTACTACTTTGTAGTAATACTATATACCTTACACCTTCGGATAGGAAGGTTTTTGATTATACAGGGTGTCCCAGTATTTTAAGTGGTGATCTGGTCAAAAGAAACATTTTTTCGCTTTACCGTTTTTCAAGTAAGTCCAAAATAACCGAGTTATTTTACTTTGAAAATTTAAACAAAAAATTTTCTTGCGTAAATTTTGAGAACCACTGGATCTTTTCTGGATTTTCTTTCATGTAAATTTAATCTACTACCTATGTTGCAATATTATCAAGAATATTTTTTTTAAACCTACCTACTTGTGTATCTCAAGAATCGGCGAATTGGTTGGTGGAAATCACACCTAGGTTCAAAAATTGGCAAGGGCCGGAACTGGTTGCAGTGAAGGGAGAAAACATCTCTAAAGTGGCATCACGGTCTTTCTGCGAGAAGCAAGGGGAAAGACACCACCTACCTGCTGAGTTGGCGAGTCATCAACTCGAGGGAGAAGGATCATGGTGTGGTCCTCACAATAGGAATTGACCTCAAATCCAAGGAGGCAATAGAGAAAGAGGGACATATCCTCTGTTATAGTTACTGGACAATTCAGAAGTGTGGTCTGGATTTTAACGTGTAAGACAGAGAATAATATAAATGACCGGTTGACAGACAGAGAGACAGCATCAAAAGGGGCCGGTGATGGGCCGGTGCGACCGATACAGTGTTGCCGGTATTTACGGGTGTGGGCAAGGTAAAGCATAAGCGTGGTGGAAGTACGCATTGAGAGGGGCGGTGCTTTATGTTAAGGTTCGTATTCACTATCCGAAAGAACAAAGGAATGAAATTCGGTATATTTGGACAGCAAACCGAATGCATGCGGCCGTTCGCCATTCGGTTCGCTCCATCATCCGTTTCCAGTCGGTGCATCAGAGACGTTCGCAAACGAATGAGAATTATGGAACCGCGCGAACAAGACTGGACGTTCGATCGTTGGATAGTAACATTCGTTCGTTGGGATAGTGAATACGCACCTTTATGTAGATGAAAGGGTGGGGAAAGAGAATAGATCACCTGAGTTCCAAACTATTTTTGCATCATTCTTTTCGCCTAGCTGTTTCGGTGTGTATGTTAAGTGTTTTAAAAATTGCTATTTATACGACCGAAGAGAAGGTGCATATCGTTAAATGGTTTTACATTTCCTCAAGTGTAGAAGAGGTCATTGGGCGTTATGTGTTCACCTTTCAAGATCGCCCTGTGCTTTGTGCCACAACTGTACGCAACATTGTCCATAAATTTGAGCAAACAGGCTGCATTGCCGCGTGCAGAAATTGTGACAATAAGGAAGGCGCAGTGAAGGTGATTCCCGACAAGGAAATTAATATTTGTGCCGCGGTCGAAACAAGCGAACCTTGTTCAGGCCGAAATATAGCGAACAAGTTGGTTGCAGTGCTCGAACGGTGCGCAGGGTTTAAAAAAAGCATGGATATACGTCCTACAACATCAGTACCATGCAAGAAATTTTTCCCGCAGATTGTAACAGACGTCTGGAGTTTTGCGAGGCTGTAAGAGAAAGAGCCGATCGGAATAATTTATTTTTGGAAAATATATTATTCCCAGATGAAAGCTCGTTTCCCTTACATGGCCACCACAATCCTTCGATAGTACGTTATTGGTCTCGAGAAAATAAGCACCTTAGTATGGCACTGCGGACACAATATCCACAAAAACTAAATGTTTGGGCTGGCATGCTGCAAAATCATATCGTTGGGCCTTTTTTTATTGATGGTATGTTAACAGCTGCCAAATATTTGGATATGCTACAAAACCAAATTGTGCCAGCAGTTCGAAATTTGCCAATCAATTTTGAGGAAGTGTGGTTTCAGCAGGATGGCTGTCCTGCGCATAACGCGCGTAACGTAAATCTGTTCCTTCAAACCACATTTCCCAATCGGCTAATTTCCACACAAGGCACAATTAATTGGCCACCACGTTCTCCTGATTTGTCGCCTAATGACTTCTTTCTGTGGGGATATGTAAAAAATTCCATTTATGGCCATAACCATGAACGACCCATGAATATTGACGAGCTGCGATTAAAAATCGTTCAGTCGTTAGAGAATATCCCCGCTGTTATGTTAGCTAAAGTTAGATCAGAGTTTTATAACCGTCTTGGCTATTGCGCAGCACAACAGGGAGGTATTTTTGAACCTTTGATTTAATTTTTTTTATAATTATTTTGCTAATTGTCATTTTTTAAAGTTGATTTTTAGTCATTTTTTTAATGCTTGTTTTAACTTATGCTGAAACAGCAACAAAAACATGAGCAGTGTAGATACAACCGGACGTTTAATTATTTTTATTTTTAAAAAGATTAAACGTCTCGAGATGTATGGATAACCTTCAAAATCGTAAATATATTGTAGAATGATGTACACCCAACCCCTTTCAAAATCCGACTGATTTGATAAATGTGTCAAAGTATATCTACCGTTCTACGACTTCGATACTGTCAGTGTTGCCAGATGAAGTTTTGAAAATTTCCTGAAGCCTGGTTGGCACGGTCAATCTACCAACAAAAAATATTCTTTTAAAATATTTATCTGATGATACTTTTAGAAATGCCAAGTTTGAGAAAATAAATTAAATGCACACACTAAATTGTGTCAAAAAATATGCTTTCTAAAAATGTATTTCCTCGATAGAAACCTTAATGTTAGGGAATATTTCCTAGACCTGGCATCTGTTTACTATTCTTTCCCACCACTTGATTTGTCTTAGCTGATTTGTCTCATCCCGCCTCTCTAAAATTTGGAAGCCATGCATTTCTGTCGCCACGTGTGACCCATCAAACTCTTGAGTTATAGGCGTACTAATATTTTATTTCCATTTAGATTTAGTATTACAGCCAATTTTAGTTTAAAAGTTTTGCTTATGAATTCTGTAAAATTTAATTTATTCGAATTTTAATAAGAATTTTTTTATGGCAGCTGACAAAGTTTAAGATGGGAACAGTGGAACAACGCGTTCGCCACGCTGCTTCTTAAGCCCCATACATACTCAATATGCGCTGATTTGATGCATCCATGCGTTCATACACGCATAGTATGATGCGGTATTATTGCGTTATTCTTTCCGTCCATGCGGTGTGTCGATGCGAGGTGTCGTTGCGGTCCGTCGATGCTGCTCGTCGGTGCGATTCATTAATTCGTTTGAAAATTCGTCTATTGTGTTTGTGATATTTCTTTTGATGGTTTTGCCCCAAAACCGATATTCCGCCTTATCTCCGCACAACCCATCGCCAGACGCATTGGCGCATCAACTCGATGCATTGACAAACCGCATCAGCGCGTAGTAAATTATTGGGCTTTACTATAATGCGATCTAACTTACTCTAAAAAAAATAAAAATATAAACTATACCTACAACGTATTTTTCAAAAATGTCTATAAAATTTTTCAATTCATTTTATGTCAATCATTATAAAAAACTCATCGACATGATCAAAAAGTTTTATGATCAAGCGGGGGCAAATAAAAACAGATAAACAATTTTTATGTAAAACGGCCTTTAAAATTAACATTATAAACATTATAAAACTGTTTGGTGGCATCGTATTTATGATTCTAATTGTGCTAACCTTTGAGGGGTGTGAAATAAATTACTTATTTATATACAGCATTTATGCGGGGTGGTATAACTAGTGTTATAATGGTTGTAGCTTTAGTATTACGGGCAACCAACGGTCCAGCTACGTCGAAACACCGGTTCCCATTAGAACACCGAAGTTAAGCGACGTAAGGCGGTACTAGAGGATGGACGGGTGACCAGTTCGAAACTCTGTATCGTGCTGTTGTCCAATAAAGGCAAAAGTGTAAAATTACATTATAACATGATCATGTCATAATATTATGAAATAATATTTAGTGAAGTAAAGTAAAGTAAAGTAAAGTAATTTAGTAAGTAATTTCCTACTACCTATAACTTAAGTAATTTCCTACTACCTATTTTTTTAATATTGCTACAGCATACTTATCAGTATAAAGTTTTACTTATCTTTATCCTTTTTATTGCTATTTATAATTCTGAATACGAGAATAAGAAATTTTAGTTTTAAGTACGCCTATGACCGAAAGCGAACGCCTACCTCCCGCTTCTAATCAGCGGCCATAATTGTATGGAATCAGGGATGAGTAAATATAAAGGACCCTAAAATTTATTAATTTTAGGGTCTGCTCGTCTGCTCTGTCCAAACACGTAAGAAATATTTATTGATGGATCAGTAGGGCAGAGAATGATACAGAGATAATAAAAAGGCCGTTTTTATGAATAACGAAATGGTATTTGAACATCATATTATAATTAAATCGAATTAACAATAGATTAATTTATAAGCTATCCGCAGAAAATTGACAATAATAATAAAAACATGACACATGGCAATAATTCCAAATTAAAAATCGATAAGAGTTCTCATTCATAATAGTAATATAGATATATTTCAAAGAACTTTACTTAAAATTAACTTTTTTAATTTTGTATTAGTTTATAGCACTTGGTGGTATAATTTAATAAAATAATATCAATCATTAAATAAAGCATAAACGAACCAATAAATAAAAAAAAGGTTAATTTATTTAATGCAACGTACAACGTACGTCTTTGGATGCCGATTGTCGTGTGTACGAAGAATACAGTCAACATGCGTTCAATACAATACGATATACTGAAAGAGAAAAGACTATAAAATACGGGAGAAAAGTGAGCAGTTTATTACCTATCCACTTAATCCGGATCGGTCGACAATAGAATTTGCGATATTTACAACATTATGTAATTAATTGATTATCGGTCCTATTATGAAACTGAGGATGTACGTAACTACGTAATAGAGCATATTTTTTGGTTAGTTTATTTAATGAAGCGTACACACGGCTTTGGTTGCCGATTCTCATGTGTCAACGTGTTCAGTACAATACGATACACTGAGAGAGATGCTGATGCTCTATTACGTAGACACATACATCCCTAGTTGCATAATCAGACAGATAATCTATTATAAATAATACACAGATAATCTAATATAAAAGCGCAAATTCTGTTGTCGAACGCTGTAATCAGTATAAGATTATGTATTATAGAATTGTGGAGGTGCATATGAAACATTAAACGATTCATCATTGTGTTTAGTTATACCACATAATTTAACAAAAAGATCAATCATTTAATGTCTCACTTCACACTGTCTCTCTCCATTATTATTTAATACTGATTAGAATGGTCGACAATAGTATTTGCGCTATTTACTACATTATGTAATTAATTGATTATCTGTCTCATTATGTAACTGCGGATGTACGTGACTACATAATACAGCATATTTTTTGGTTAGTTTATTTAATGATATAACCGATAATGTACACACGGCTTTGGGTGCCGATTGCCGTGCACAGAGACTCTGTGATTGTATAAACGAACAAAGAGAGAAGAGTAAGAATTTTCCCAAGCGTATGAAGCTGACCTCCGGATTAAGTGGATAAGTAATAATTTTCTCTCCCCGACTTACAAGATTGCCATAGCGATTCACTTCTAGACATGTAGGTAAATGACGACTAAAATAAACGACACAAGATTTTCTCTTGCCGACCAGTATTATCGTAGTCTTAAAGAAATTAGAATGAAATAAACTATGTTAAAAATTTTCATGTATACTACTGAAATGAAGATAATATATCTAAGCTAAATGTAATCTATTACAGTTGTAGTAAAATGAGTAACTAATTATCGAAAATCCAGATCCAACCCTAGATGCAACATTTTTTTGAAACGTCTACTTATGCGGTTTGAAATTTTGATGCAAAATCAGGCAATACTGCTCAGAAGAAATGTACCCACCCATACCCACCCAACTCTTTTCTCTTTTTAATACATTTTATTTGCCATTAAGCTGTCTACATCACTGTCTTACACGTTAAAATCCTATACACAGTAATTGAATGACCAGGTCTGTATAAGCCGCATCAGCTGCTGGGCCATTTAGCGGCATGAATCATCCTATATACCTACAACCCCTAAAAGTATATGCACTTATTTAAAACTGACCCTGTATATGTATATTGACAAAAAAAGGCAAACACCCATATATGTTTATCTAATTTGAATATTTTTTTGGTTTACACACACACATGTTTAATGCCTCTTACTAAATTAATTCTTAAGCTTTAACTAACTCTTACTTAACTAAGTTTAACTAACTCTTACTTAACTAACCTAACTCAATATAATTTTTATAATAATTAGATTTCGTCTTAAGTTTTTTCTGACTTTATTTGATAAGATATGACAAGTGATGAATATGATAAATTTCATATTTTCATTTCTAATTTTCCTGCTCTCCAAATTGATATTATTTGAATTTCAGGTTGCTGGGTATCTCCGATTATTTTAAAAATACATTTGAGACATATTTTCAATTTGGATTATTTATTATTTTAAATATACACTATCATCACAGAATTAAACTCAATTTTAACACTTGTTAACACTCAATAGGTCGAAAGTCATGTACGAGTAGCGAGCCTTAGTTTATTTGAAGGGATTTCCCATGGTGATTATTATATTACTAGGGGAAATAATTATAACTTAAGTTTTTTAATAATTAAAGTTTACAAAGAAAATGAATTAAATAATTTGAGAATATAGTAACCTCCTACACAACTTTTTCATTTCCTTTCTTTTCTGCTATTGGATACTCTGTCTTTTTTGCTGCTGGTTCTGAAAAAGAGAGACACCTATTTTAGACATTAATAATTGTAATGGTGTATTTTTATTTTATTGTTAAATAATGTTAGTTTTAATATTTATTAACTTTAATACAAAGTATTATTGAAATTTGCACGAATGCTTTAAGCAGGTAATTTAAATAAGAAAATTAAATATTTTAAACTGGATTTCTAAAAATCAAATTCGTATATTAACATACTATTTTTGAGGTATGTTGAGTTAGGAAAAGAAAACATACAATTGATAGTTATATGTTGTTGTTATATGTTAGTATTATATGCTTAGAAAGATCAATTCATTCAGAACCACGCAATTAGTGGAATAAAATAGTCGTTTCAATTAGCGTAGAAGTTTGTTCCTTTAATTTCAATGTAAGCATTCAGAACGTCAAAATTAGTGGTACTAATCTTCAATTAGTGGAAAAAAGCTTCATTCAGAACCTCGAAATCAGTGGAATAAATTAGTAGTTTCAATTAGCCGTAGAAGTTTGTTAACCTAATTTTAATATAAGCATTCAGAACGTCATAATTAATGGTAGTAATTTTCAATTATTGGAAAAAGTTAACAAACTTTTGACTTTTCCACTAATTATACTTCAAAATTTGCGAGGAATGTCATTTTGGCATTTGATTATCACCCGTCAAGAAAAATAAATTTTGGTTAGAAATCAAAAGTTTATTGTTTTATAAGCTAAATATTATGCTTTCTCTATGGATACAACAGACTACCGCAAGCGGTTGCTAGGATATTTTATTAATTTTAATTGTGTTTTTTAGACATTGTGAATGATCGTAAACTAAAAAGTATAAAGTGTAATTGAAACCACTAATTTATTACACTAATTGGGAGGTTCTGAATGAAGCTAAAGTTAACAAAATTTTGACATTTCCACTAATTATACTTCAAAAAGTTTGCGAGGAATGTCATTTTGCCCTTTGATTATCATCCGTAAAGAGAAATTGTGGTTAAAAATCATAAGTAGATTGTTTTATAAATGGATACAACTGACTACCGCAAGTTGTTGCTGTTGCTAGGATATTCTATTAATTTTAATTGTGTTTTTTAGACATTGTGAATGATCGTAAATTAAAAAGTATAAAGTGTAATTGAAACCACTAATTTATTCCACTAAGTGCGAGGTTCTGAATGAAGCTTAAATCTAAAGTAGGTATGTGACTCGTGTAAAGATTTTATTTTCTGTATACTTACTGCGTCCGCTCCCTCGTAATAATGCTTTCTCCAAAATTATTACTGGCGACTCAAAAGCCAATGTCCAAAATATTGCTACGAATGTTGTAACGATCAAATGACCACAGAAGTTATAGAACTGAAATAAAATTTTGTATAAATTATCACTTATTTTTTTTTCTCTATTAGACGAAATATTTTTTTACTAAAGTTAGTATTCATAACATCATAATGTAATAAAAAAAGTACAGTTTTATCGTCATTAATTCATTTCCTCTTTTTATTTTTCCCCATTGAAAAACTTTTTAGGCCACCTATTCTCCGGCATACGTAGAACGTGTCCAAACCATTTTAGTAATGTTTCCTCCGATGCATTCATGATACCCCTGACCTCAATGTTTGTCTTTTTTTCCATCCTAGATATACCTTCTTTTAAGGTAGTCCATTTCAACAACTTGAATTTTGCGCTTCGCGTCTGCACTCAGGGTCCATAGCTCTGAACCATAGCAAAGAACTGACTATTAAGACATCCAATAATTTGTTTGATATTTTGAATTCAGTTTTATATTTCTTCTTTGCCCAAACCCTCGTTGTTGATAGTAGCACCCAAATATTTAAATTTGTCTGGTTGTTGAATCAATGAAGATTTCAAAACAAGCGTTCGAATTGACAGCTAAGTATTCCATCTTTTTAGACTAAGTCCTAATGACGAACTAAGTCATACCTGACTAATATAAGTCCCCATTTGTTGTATTCTTGATAAAGCACTTTAGTCATGAACTCCAGATCGTATGAGTCCTGCGCAATCACGACCTGATCGTCTGCAAAGCTCAGGGTATATAGTGTATCGTCCCCAATGCATATTCCCATACTTTGACATGCCACGTAAAACATGGTCTGCGTTGAACAGGATACGGACATATCATGGGGGTGTGCTGATTCTATGTTTAAATGGGAAAAGTCAGCTTCAAGTCAATACGACTGCAACACCGGCAGACTATCCGGCATATAAAAAGTAAAAGCATGCCCATTAATATCCTATTCCAGTCCCTTTGATAATTTCCTGGAAGCTGCAGTATAATAATAGTGCCGTAGTTTAGATGTTTGTTTGTGATACTTGTTATATGTATGTTTGTTTGTACATTTTAGACTCTGTCAGACTATTCAGCTACATAACACACATATTTACTTCCTGCTCTTTTCTTGTACAATGATTATGGTCTCATGTGTTTTGTTGTGATGTTTAGCCATACGATAGATATATATATATATATATATATATATATATATATATATATATATATATATATATATATATATATATATATATATATATATATATATATATATATATATATATATATATATATATATATATATATATATATATATATTATATATATATATATATATATATATATATATATATATATATATATATATATATATATATATATATATATATATATATATATATTGACATCTCCTCTTCCATTCCCTAAGGGCTACTTCGACGTAAGCATTGAAGATCAGAGGATATAAGCTGCATCCTTGTCGCAACCCTTTTATGGTATTAATTGGATTGGATAGCCTATGTCGTATCTTAACTCCAGATTCACGATTTATTTTCTTTATGTAGCTCTTTTCTTATCTTAAGCAGAGGTCTATCTACTTCTAAAATATTCAAGACCCATATCTTGCTGCGGGGAATAAGAGTCGTACGCTTTCTCCAAATCAATAAACGCTAGATGGACTTTTTGATTTACTGTTATTTTTTCCATCACCTGCTGCAGAACAAAGCAAAAGAAGCTCTGTATTTTAAATTAGCAATAGAAAACAAAATTATCCACAAATATCAGTCGAATAAATGTTAAGTCGAATAAGTTGGATGATAAATCACAAGCGCTGGATTTCTGGAAAAGTGATAAAAATACAGACAACTCAGTAATCTGTACAATACGGGACTCTAGATTTCCAACAAGTGATGATTGTAAATCTAGAATCTACCAATCATGCGTTTGATCTCTATGATATATGGCACAGAAACTAGGGTCCACACGGCAGTAACAAGTGTACCCGTATAGTATTAGCCGTAACATAAAGGATTTTAAAAACAGCAGATATAGTCTATACTAAAAATATATTAAAAATACTAACAATGATACACATTGAACGACAAGAAAAGAAACATAGACACAGGCAAAAATCTGTGAGTAAAGAGAAAAGAATAGAGCATGTCAAATACTATGTCTACCAAGAGAATAGACAAAGTAGTAGTGAAGGGCATTACGATTCTTTTTAGTGAATCGAATCACACAGTTCAATTTCTCATATTGAATCGACTCCTGCGATTTATTCGTTTGAACGAACCACATGCACCATTTACGTTTCATAAAACCAAGAATCGTAAGTGGCACTACCCGCGATAATTTGGTAGGACAATTACTTAAGGGACCAGAAAAAGAAATATACAGTTCTTTCATTTGTTTTTCAACACTTTATGATACTGGCGTAATTGGATTGATTGTTTTACCAATAATATTAAATTATCAATCCAATCTATATATACTATTTATTAAAGACTTCTTAATACCAATTTAATATTTTTAGAGCCATATTTTAATTCCGGTTTAATAATCGCGAGAATAATCGTAATAAATATTATATAATACTACCGCATGATCGAAAAAAAAATGGCGTCCAGTTGGCTTGGAAATGAACATCGATGACATTCCCCAAATAAGTTTACATATAAAATGACAGCGATCTTCATTTTATAACCATCGCTGACGCCGTTTTTTTATCACATTGAGGATGTCAACAACCTCTATTTAGAGTTGCATAAAAACACGATTTCGTCTTTTAGTCCGACGTTTAATGACTATTAAACGTCGCTATTACGTGGCTATTACCGGCTGGTAATATTATTTTAACAAAAATATTAAGGTGGAAATTAAATATCTTACAGATACTCCCGTACTAAGCACAGCATAAATATGTTTTTTCTTGTAAATAACTTTCTTATCGTTTGCATTTTATGCCCGTGATGTTTGTTTAGGGCTTTTGTTCAAGTATAAATATTGGTGCCTGCATTTATTCTTAAAAAATCGCCGGCAACGCCGCGCCGTAGAAACGAACGATCGCATTGTAATCCGATTCAATTCTCACGATTCTTTTTTACGGCTCATCGTTCAAATGTTATGGATCCGTGCTGGTCACGATTCAATTCAACAAACCGCATTGCAAGCAATGATTCGAATCTCACGATTCATTTTTAATACTCGTTCGAATGAACGATTGTTCAATCTTTACCCACCTCTACATACTACTTTGTCACGTAAGACCATCCGGACAATTATTCTTAAAGCTGATGACGAGATATTTAGTAATCAATTATTTTCTACTTGATGATTATAATAACATCAGTAATATAATCATGAGTAATTTAAATTTTAGTAGTACAACCTACGTATATTCACTTACCAAAATATAGTCGGTAAAATGCAATGTTGTTCTAGTTTCCATAGCTGTATAAGATATTATGGGTCCATGCATGAGATAAAGGCAGTATACTAGCTTTCCTCCAAGTTGCATGAATCCACAAGATAAAAACCAGTTGATAATACCTAAAAACAGCGATGATATAGAAATAATTCTCTGTATATAATGGAGTAATAGTTTCTTTTTAAACAAATGTCTTTTTATAAATGTAAAATAATAAAGCTTTTGATATTGTGTAAAAATAGAAAAACAGTATTACAAAAAAAATAAAATTTATATTTAAAAAACTTAAATTAGGGCCAACAGATTTGGCAAATATGCCTTAATAAAATAAACACTGATTGTATTAACCTACTAATTAAAATCTAAAATAAATCTAAAACATTAAATCTAATATATATAATATAATGTTGCGGACCTGTGTGGACTCAGCCTAACCCGTTCTAATATGTCCCGCCCCCATATGACCTTAATATCGCATAAGAAGAGACACCGCAGTGACTCAGCCAATCGAACGTTCGAGAACAATCCAGTTCCACTGGAATGGCGGCGTACATACAAGAACATTCTAAATCTTCTCTATATGCACCTAATGATCTATGGACTTTATCTATGACTCTACACAGGGTGTCCCAGAAATAAGTGCAAATATTTTAAGGGGTGGTAGATCTGGTCAAAAGAAACATATTTTCTCTTTACCATTTTTAAAATAAATTGAAAATAGCGAGTTATTTAACTTTGAAAATTTTAAAAAATAATAGTAACATTTCGATAACCGCCGGCAGATATCGCCAACTACCTCCAATTACGCGAATCAAGCCCGCTTCTCAGGTAGTTCGACGCCCTGTGTTGCCATATGGACAAGAAAGTATATGCCTAAAAAAAGTCATAAAACCACACCACCTGAGGAGTTTGGCAGAGATTGCAGATATGCATTACATTTTTAAGATTGTGATATTATTACAGAAAATAAATAAAAAAAACCTACCCAATATTAAAAAAAGATACTTATGACAGATCGATGTAACTGTGACAGTTCTCTTTTTTGATACACACTTAACTAAAATACACTTCACTGTGCTGCTTTACTTGTACCTACATGCTATTATAACTGCTATAGTAACAGACCCCATTTCTAACATATTCTTTTCATATAGGCTTCATCACAATTTGAGCCACTGATTTACAAAACACTTTGAAAAGCGCACATTACTTTGAATACCTTTCTAAATGAATAAATATTGAGAATTATTGTCTCTTATCGCCACTTTACGAACAATTTTAAATACGTATTTTGTTTTTTCGCTATTTTTTCGATGTTTTTGTGGCGGGCTTGTGTGCATCATGCGACGATATTAAGCGACGTTGCTGTAGTTACAATTTGAAATTCAAGACATTCAAAGCAATCAAATTCGTATTAAATTTTAAAAATAAAACAGAACACATGAAAGGAAAGAAACAAAACAAAAATGAATTGATTATTCGTCGGGCTGTTTTCGATATATTGAATTCTGAATTACGATAAACATTTTAGAATTTTTTATGTGACCTTATCGATAATCAATTTATTTTTGTTTTGTTTGTTTCCTTTCATGCTTCTCTGTTTTATTTTTAAATTTTAATACGAATTTGATGGTTTCGAATGTCTTGAATTTTAAATTGTTGAAACTACGGCAACCTCGCTTAATATCGTTGCATGACGCAAGCTTGACAGGGTGCGGCGGCGGCGCCGCTTGGCGTCTCAAGAAACCAGTTGACACGCCTCAATTTTGACGGACGGTTGGTTTTCGATGGCATTGTCGAAATACATCGAAAAAATAGCGAAGAAACAAAATACGTACTTAAAATTGTTGAGTGAAACATGTATTATGATGAATCATTTTATTAAATTTATTCCAAAATAAAGTTATTTTGCAGCATAACAAAGATTTTCGCAAACGTCATAAAGGTAATGTTGAAGTTAATATTCGGTGGTTTTTGTTAAGTTTTCATTGAAAGGGTAAGTAATAAAAATATTTTTTTTTTATAATTATTAATAATGAGCACTGATAAAAGATTAAATTTAACATTCCTAATTTTTTGGGTGGAAATTTGTCTATCAATTTATAAATATAGAACTATGTAGAATGTGGATAACATAGGAGGTTGCAATACTGCAAGGTTTAGATACACCGTAGGGAAATCTCAGGTGAATACATAAGTGGCACTAAAAAGTTTTTTCAAATTTCCCGGAAAATGTCAAGAAAAAATTTAAATTTTCAACATTTTTTTTCTTAAAAAAAAACTCATAGGCGTGTTTCTGGGTTTGAACTATACTACTAGTTAAAATACTTGCACTTATTTCTGGGACACCCTGTCTAACCCGAAGCCGGTACAAGGAGGACAGAAACAAACAGATTCCGTCGACGCGTACAATTGCCGCGCTAAATTCAAAATAAATTCCTTTTAGATAAATGGTTAAAAATAAGTGTGTAAGTAGTTCTTTAAGTGTTTTATCATTATTGTTTTGTTACTTAGTGTAAAATAAATTGTTTTTAAATAAATTAGACTTTTTATCCACACGGAACCGACGAAAAACGTAACAATAGTAACATTTGTTTATAACTAAAATATATCTACATTACCTCCTTGACCAACAAGACAACTATATACAATCCAACAGAGTTGTAAACACCAAATTGGTCTGCCTAAACTTATTGCAATAGCTTTAACTTCATACTCATATGTAAATCCATAAGTTACATAGGCAGTAACGTACATACCAATCAAAACAACACACCAAATGAACAAGTTCA